ATAGTGGAAAAATAGTTATCTGTACTGCTGTACCTGTCTTCTGCTAGCCTCTATCTCTTACCAGGGCCAGAGATGACCGAAAATAAAGTAGTGATACCATATATAGGCATGAGCAGCCGAGTCTTCACAGAAGCGTTTCCGCGTCCTTGTGGGTGATGAATTATTTTCCATCTTACAACCTCTTTCCCGGAGACGAAAAATAGCGCAAGCCTCTCGCTGCTCTACCGCTATTTGCATGGAGAGTGTTCAGACGAACTACACTCTTTAGTTCCACCATTTCTCAACTTTCACGGCCTCAGAGCCTGCATGCCCCACACACTGTAGCGAACCACCCTTACTCTTATCGTATTCCAGAGGTGATATCTACGTCCCACTCGAGCAGATTCTTCCCACGAACCACTTCTTCGTGGAATCAACTCGCAAGAGGATGCTTAGTCGATCACTACAGTCTTAATCTGCTCAAGTCTAGAACTAGCCGTTATCTTCGCCTCATAACTCCATAAACTCTGCCTCTTACTCGGTTATTCTCTACCTTGGGACTTGTACAGGGAAATCATCATTGTAAAAAACAAAGAAAAACTTATGGCTAAAGATGCTGGAAAAAGAATCGTTCCTATGAACCTCTCCAAAATGTATTGATTCCTTTTGCCATGTTTTATTTTATAAGAGGCAGATTAGACCAAAATTCTTTTTAAGCATTTGATCCGAGGCAAAGCAGAGAGTGAAAGTGAGAGAAAAGACTGGATATAGCAGGGATTGAGGCAAAGATCAAAGATGAACTGGGATCAAAACAACAGAAGTTGGCGATTGACGTTGCATTTAAATTTTTGAAGATTGTAGTTATCAGGGAAATAAGTAAGAGTAATGGAGTTCCACTGTCGGGAAGTGCGAGAAAAAATGTTGGAGTAGAACTGGCGGTTACATTTAACTATTTCAACAGTAAAAAGTGGGGGTCTAAACGCCAATTTAGCACCACGCTTAAATTCGTGTAGTCGAGACAGCAGGGGAAAAAATCTCGTTAGAGCAGTTGCCATGAAAATATTTGTAGAAAAGACAGAGGGAAGCCACATTACGTCTGTGAGAAAGTGGCTGAAACCAAGATGCCAAGTTAAGAAGGATTCTTTGCATTTTTCCGAAAACGTCTAGATGAACAGCAGGGGCACCAGACCAGATATAGTAACAGTATTCAATGCACGGACGAAGGGTAGATTTGTAGATGTGTCTGTATATCCACTGTTGAGAAAGCAACGAGAAACATCTATGGGCAAACATCACTTTAATATTCGTAGACAACCATTTTTTATTGTGTCACGTGTACCTTCATGACGTGAGACGATCATGACATTTCCCTTGTAGCTCTTAGCAACGTCTGTTTTGTTCGTAAACCTCTTACCTCCCAACTTTTCCGCCATCCATTCATACAAGCACCTTAGGCAGGTGTATCCCCGCCACCGAAAAATCATTTTGTCTTCGATGTCACCTGTAAGCGTCAAATTCTCCAAGCCATCCTTTTTCACGATGTATCTAAGAACATTCTCCTGGCTCTTTCTGATTCTAAATAAAAGCGTCCTTTTTTATTCCATTTTTCCTTAAATCGTTCTCCTTGCTTACGCGCTTCATCCATAGTATCCTCAGCATCCTTCTGTAGAACCACGTCTCTGTTGCCTCCAGCTTTCTCTCCATCTGTTAGTAGTTTATCGAGAATTCACTGACACGCAAGTGGTGTGATATTACATAACAGTTCATCGCTCGATTCTAACCTGTCCAGGTGAAAAAATACTATGATTTCAAACTAGTTGGGCGACCCATATAAATCTATTTAGTACTGAAACTGAAACGACATCAATTTGTTTAGTTTTATTGGTACCTATCCCCCACTGGGGATAGGGTAGGGTAGGGTTTATGGATTGAAGGGAAATGCAAAATACTCGGAATTTTCAATTGGGATTTTTCTACGCTCTTAAAAGTCCCTAGCGTACGAAACTTGATGGAAAAATAAGGTCACGAAACCAATAAAACAATTTTCAGATCAAACATAATATAGAAACGGATATCAAAATAAAGTAAATTTCTTTCTCTTAAAAATAAGTAGGTTGATTGATAATTAAGTTTTCCGATCCTATGAAATAAGTTTTAGACCAGACAGTACAAGGAAAATACTATAAAAATAAAGTAAATTCATTTCACTACAAAATTACGGGGGTTGATGGAAAAGTAAACTTTCCTATCCTGTAAAACTAGTTTTATACCAGACAGGATAATGAAATTAGTCTATAAAATGAAGTACATTTACTTCCCTTTAAAATTACTAGATTTAATTTGTCAATATCTGTCTCTATTTCTGAGATGAGGTATTATGTACACTATTTACATTATTCGGAACTATTGCCCTCATCTTTGTCGCCATATTTATTACAACGTTTCGGCCTTTCAGTATCTGTCTATATTTCTGAGATGAGGTATTATGTACACTATTTACATTATTCGGACTATTGTCCTCATCTTTGTCGTCATATTTATTTCAACATTTCGGCCGTTGTACGCTCCGGCCTTCTTCAGGTGGTTGGAATGTTGAACTGAACCCTTTACCTCGCTCACTGGGGTAGAATGTTCTAGTTCCACGTGCCATGTTTTAATGGATGTCAGTTATTTCTATGCTTGGTCGGCCTTTATCCACTGTGCTATGTGTCCTTGAGGACACACAGTGGATAAAGGCGTTAGTTAGATCCAGTGACAAGACCCAAAGAGTGTGAGTTCAATACCCGGTTAAGACAGTTGAAGAACTTGGAGAGGGGAATTAACAGGCGATAACTGATATCTGACATCCATTAAACACGGTATGTGGAACTAGAACAGTTATACCCCACGTTAAATCCAACCTTGTGCCATATATGACCACGTGGGATGGTTGACAAATATCCTTAAGTTGGAGATTTATCTCCAGCTGTGCTGGTCCAACTTTCTGCTTCCGAGCAGAAAGCATCCCCAGACGCGGCTATGTCGATGGGCAAAAGTCTCGTCTCGGTAAACAGCTACACGACCCCGTTTTATACGGGGTCTGCAGGGAATTTTTGACAGAGTCTATGGGCTCGGATACCTCACACTAAATCGGCCTTGTGTCATACCTGACCACGTGGTGTGGTTGGTATATATCTTGCAGATGGAGATTCATTGTGGAATTCACTTGACTCAATTATAGCAGTTGACTACTTCTTCTACGCACTGCTGGCGAATCTTATATGTGTTTTTCTTGTCCTAAGTATTATCGTTCATTAACAACCTTCGTGTGATTATTCTATTCAGTAACCTTCCATAGGTTATAACTGTCCGTTTTTCACAAAGAGTGCCATGAAATATTAATTCTCTTCTATGGTAGTGAATGCTGGACAAACTCCTCACAAATGAATATGAGTCTTGTGGCAACGGAAAAATTGGCAGTTTTAATGAAAATCGAAAGAACTAGACTCTTACACATAGAATCAGAAAGAACAGTTGAAATTTCTTGGACCCATAATAAGAAAAGTGGGCTTGGAGAATTTGACACTCACAAGATATATTGAAAGCAAAGAGGACGGGGGCGGCGGCATACCTACCTGAAGCGCTTGCATCAATGGATGGTGGAACGGTATGTAGGAGGCTTGTGAACGGAACAAAAGTTGCTAAGAGATACAAGAAACTTGGGAAAGGTCATGATCGCACCACGTCATGAAGGTACACAGTACACAAAAGAAAAGATCGGTTGTCAAAGAATATTTAGCTACTTAGCATAATGTCTGATAGTCAACTTCTTGAGAGCAACTCTCTGCGTCTGCTCGGTCTCACGTTGACTGCTGACCTGAGATGGAACAAATACAGTGAGTCAATTGCTTCGTCCACAGCGAGGAAAGTTGGCTCTCTGTGCCGCGCCAGGAAATTTTTCTTCCCGGAATCGATACTTCAAATATACAAATCAACCATTCGCCCTTGCATGGAGTATTGCTGCCATATATGGTCTGGTGCACCTTCTGTTTACCTTGGAGTTCTTGACAAGATCCAGAGGCGGATATGTAATATAATTGGCTCTGATCTGGCATCTCGTCTACAGTCACTCTCTCACAGATGCGACGTCGCCTCTCTCTGTCTTTTCTACAAATACTTTCATGGTAATTGCTCCGATGAGCTGCTTTCACTCGTTCCCAGACTCCATGAATTCAAGTGCCCTACGAGGCTGGCATCCCGCTCTCACCCTTTCACTGTTGAAACTGGTAAATGTAGCCGTCTCTTCTACTCCAGTAGCTTCATACCTCACACCTCTCGCCTGTGGAACACCCTTCCCAATTACTGTTTCCCTGAGAGCTATAATCTACAACTTTCAAATGTAATGTCAATCGACATCTATCGACTATCCCTCTCCTCATCCTTTCTTCTATCACTCCTATCCGCTCTCGCTCCAAATCTTCTGCAACACCCTGCATCCTAGTAGCTTCACGCCTTGTTCGGGGCGTAATGCTTAAAAAAATATATATGTATATAACATGTAGTTCTACAGATGGATCGAAAATTTGAGCAAAGACAAAGTTCTAAAGAAAATGGAAGCAAAGAGGACAATTGTCCTTAGCATTAGGAAGCGCGAGTTAACATTTATGGACCACATAATGAGGAAAGAGGGCTTGGAAATTTTTATACTCACAGGATAGATTAAAAGAAAGAGGGACAAAAGAAAACTACCCGTAACCTACTTAGCTTGTTTAAGGGAATAGATGTCGGAATACGGTTTAGGAGAGATAACGAAAAGAAATCTTGGATTTTATATTGTAAGAATTTTTTTTTAGATAATAATGGTTTTAGTAATAATAATGGTCTTAGTGATACTAATTAATCCATAGCAGGGAGAAAAGGTTAATAAATATCTTTCCCATAGACATTTGCACGTAAGTGAATGTAGCGAAGCCCAAACGGGAATTGGATTTCGGCTCTCCGGTTCTCAGTTCCGAGCCATTAGCCATTATACACCGCGCAAGCTTGCAGCGCGTGATACTCACAAGCGGTTACATATCTAGGTACTAACCTGGCTCGACGTTGCTTAACTTCGGTGATCGTCCGGGAACTGGTGTTTCAACGAGATTTGGACGGATAGATAGATAGATAGATAGATAGATAGATAGATAGATAGATAGATATGCATAGACCGAGATAGATAGATAGATAGATAGATAGATAGATAGATAGATAGATAGATAGATAGATAGATAGATAGATAGATAGCAATCAAACAAGCAAGCAGTCACCCATCTAGATACTGACCTGGCTCGACGATGCTTAATTTCGTTGATCGTACGGGTACCGGTTTTTGAATATGACGTGGCTGTAAGATTTCATTTGTTTTTGTATAACATTTTTCAGTTTATTTTAATTTTTTTTTTCTTCTTACCCCATGTTTTCCCTTCTTTAGGTTAGTGTTTCGCAGCCATTTCTTCGGTATCGCCCCACCCCTGCCCCGTCATATTAACATTGCACTGTTAAATGCAGCAGAGTTAATACAACAGAGTTGATTACTTGCATTATTTACATCACTCCTACTGTTATCATCTTCCTTGCCATATTCACAACGTTTCGGCCGTTGTAGGCTCCGGCCTTCTTTAGATGACTGGAATTTAGAACGAACCTTTTATTTCGTCCACCGGGGTAGATTGTTCAAATATATACATAGATGTCCTCAAGGACACATGACCCAGTGGATAAATACGTTGGTTAGATGCAGTGACTAGACCAAAAGTGTTGTGAGTTCAATACCAGGTCACAGCAGTGGTGAACCAAACAATTGGAGATTTGAGTTAAAGAGAAAGAAGAGGTTATGGCTGATGCAACTAGAACAATCTACACCAGTGGACAAAATAAAAGGTTCGGTTCGTAAATCGGGAATTTGACTAGTGATTATAATCCTGCTTTAAATCCCTCCCTTCGTTAGTAAGTTCCAAATTTAGTTTACACGCCCATTACGTCCTGATTGTAATTTATAAATAATGAACTATTTCGTTCTGACCGCGGGAAAATACGAAATCGACACATCAGAGACACTTCTTGGTTTCAGTGAGAAACAGAAAGGAAAGAAGGTTTGTTTTGTTTTACGGCATATCAACTTCAATGGGTTATTTAATGCCGACAAGATTTTTATTGCTGGTAATATTTTTTCCTTCAAAAATGTATATTTTGCTTTGGTTTGTTTTATTTTACGGCATATCAACCTCAGTGAGTTATTTAATGCCGACAAGATTTTTATTCTTGGTAATATTTTTTTCTTCAAAAATGTATAGTTTGTTTTGTTTTGTTTTACAGCATATCAACCTCAATGGGTTATTTAATGCCGACAAGATTTTTAATACTGCTAATATTTTTTTCCTTCAAAAATGTATAGTTTGCTTTGGTTTTGTTTTACGGTATACCAACCTCAATGGATTATTTAATGCCGACAAAATTTTTATTGCTGGTAATATTTTTTTCCTTCAAAAATGTATTGTTTGGTTTGGTTTGGTTTGTTTTGTTTTACGTCATATCAATTTCAATGGATTATATAATGCCAACAAGTTTTTTTTTTATTGCTGGTAATATTTTTTCCAAAAATTTATTGCTGGTAATAATTTTTTACAAAGTATTTCTACTATTAAAACCTATTTTTGCACTTTTATAGAGTTTTGACTCCAGTTTGGCAGTTAACTATCTACCTATAGCTGGAACCCTAACAAGTGCTACTATCCCGGGTCAGTGTGGACATGTGAACACCAGCAGTTAAGAGGTCGTTCCACGCTCCTCAAAACCTCCTGATCCTTGCTGTTGGATGTAGTGTATTGTCTTACCCAGGGCGCGGATGTAGTTTATCGTCTCACCCAGGGCGCGGGTGTAGTTTATTGTCATACCCAGGATCGGGAATGAATGAAAAAAGATAAACGTGTTTAACTTTTCTTTCAGTGTAAAGGGGAAAAAAAGTTGCCAATTTCAAATCTTTTTATTTCTACCTGGCAATTTATTGCCAAGTTTTCGATAAATATAAGTTATTAGTCCATTCGATATTCCCATAGACAGTATTTTGTATAAAATTCCTTTAGAAAATATTAAATTCCATCTTTTCTCCCCACTTACTATGAGAAAGAGTAGGGTAGACTGAGCGGTCTAGCTGTGGTTGGAAGTCAATCAAGGTCAATTCTGATATCAAAACCGGTTGATTGTTGCTCTAACAACTATCTTTCGTGATTAAAACTTACATGAAACGGAAACTAGTGTAGTGAGGCTGTGGTCCTAGTATGGTGAGGCTGTGTCTACAGGGTTATAAAAGAAAGTTAAAAATGAAATTTTTGTTGCTAAATACCTTATACTACATCGAATTAGTGTTACTTAATAGTAATATACTTTTCCCGCTTAAACTAGGCTTGTAGTTTAGAATATTGTGAAAAAGACTACAGAATTTGTGCAAAAAGTTCACTGTGTCAGTCGTTTCGACTGGGATGTATTTCAGTGTTTACCATGGGCCCTATTTACCGTAGATACGCCCCAGCAATCCCGAGTACATTTAATAAATAGAGTCTAAATGGAGAATGGGCTTGTCATTGCTAAGTAGAAAACCCAGGAAGCAGTATAATAATTTCTCTTTCCTTTTTTTTTTATGCTTCCGTTTTTTATTTTCTTACCTTCTTACATCCCATTAAAGCTAATAAATATTTAAGTGCCGCCAATCAGTTTTATCGACACCAGTCAATGTCTCGCGCTATGGTTCTGCTTGAGAAAATACTAGATTTTCTTTCTTTTCACTTCTATCTTTTGTCTATTTCTTTCATCTTATCTTTCTTTCATTTTATTTCCGTTTTTTCTTTCCAGTGAAATCAATTTTATACAAAGCAAATCTTTTCTAAAATCCCGCTCTGCTACAAAACGTTTTCTTCATTAAAATCTAATCAGTCATATTTTATTAGTGGGTGTATGTTCACGCTTTATACATATTCCTAAATGCAATGTTTTCCCACATGTGTTTTATTTTATTTAATCTAGTCCATGGATTCTCAACCAGGCAGAATTTCCCCGAGGGTCAGGGGATTTCAGGGTTTCAAGAGAAGGAATCTTTTACTTTTTCTTGTTTTTTTCTTCTTTTTATTTACAGAATTTTGGTTATTGAATTCCAGTACGCTGGCGGTCTGTTGAACTTTTTGTTTATTGAAGTCTGCTTCAGTTTATTTATTTAAGAATTAGTTATGAATCAAAACTAATTACTGTACATGAATTCAAGTTTAAAAATCCATCAACATTTTCTATTGCAATTAAATTTGTAAAACCCCTCTATAAAAATAATGGAAAAAAAATGAAGATTTTCAATAAAATATGCATATTATTTGGAATGCACCTTTTGAGTCGAACACTCTTGGAAAGATGAAGGCGGGGGGACATACTGACTTATGGTGGAAAGCGTGCTTCGGACAAAAAAGATTGAGAAACACATGTCAAACGTCTTTGTGACAGAATAATTAAAAATAGTTTTCTAGGAAATTCTTTTCTTAATTTATTCCAGTATAAGAGGAATGGACTCGAGGGCAGCATTGCGGCTATCAGGGTAACAAGGAAAATTGCGAGAACAGTTCAGACACCTAGTCTGTTGCTTTCACTTTCATATAAATTCCCTTGGGAAGAACATGTATGGATCTCTTCTGTTGCCAGCTATGGGTTAAATAGTAAGCTAGTCTCACTTGGCTTGCTTATTTATGAAATTTTCTCTCATTATTATTATTAGTAGTATTAGTATTAGTCGAACAAACACGTTTATTATAGTGATTTAATAAGTGTAGCTTAGATGTGGAACAAAGCTGAACGTATGGAGTAAGCCGGCGAGGGTCGAACTCACTACTCAGTCGTAATTGATTGATCTAGCGAGATAATTTTGGTAACCACTGCATCACGTGGAAGGGCTCTAAGTTACAATAATATATATGAATAAAAAGAAGACAAATGGAAAATATATTTCTTAGTCACTGCCGATGTGTTTCGTCAATCCGACTTTCTCAAGACAAGTTTAAAAGCGAAATGTTTTTAGTTACATTAAATTAAAAAAATAAAGGAAACGATTCTGTGTAGGCCTCGTTCTGGTTGTTGGTATTATTTTTTTATTTACTAAGAATTGGTTTTAGTTTTCCATGTCGACATATTGTTAAATTTATCAGTATAATTTTGATGATAAGATAATTTGGATAAAAAGAAGACAATTGGAAAATAGATTTTTTACTCATCCAGAATGAGGCTTGCACAGGAGCGTTCCCTTTATATTTGAATTTAATGGAACTAAAAAAAAAACATTTCTCTTCTAAACTTGCCTTGATAAAAGTTGGATAGACGAAACGTGTTGGCAATAACTGATAAATTTATTTTCCAATTGTCTTCTTTTTATCCAAATTGTCTTATCATCAGAATTAATCTGTGAAATTTAACAATAATATATATATATGTATATTATTTGGAATGCACCTTTTGAGTCGGACAATTTTGGAAAGATGAGTGGGGGACAGGCTGAATTATGGAGCAAAGGGTGCTTGGGGCAATAAAAGGTAGAAAACCAGTGCTCATCAAATCGACCGATTTGACTTTGGAAATACTCCTTGAAATGACTGAATACAAAGAAAGTAAGTTGAGAAATTTCCCCGGTCGAAGTTGTGGTTGAACTAATTTCTCTGTATAACTAATACATTTTATAAATTGTTATGTGTGAAATCACTTTTTGTGTTTTTTTGTAAATTTCTGCAAGTTTCCGCAATATATTGTAAGGAACAGCTGTGACAGGTTATTTATATATCAATATTTCAATATTGTATTCATTTTTATGCTTGGTCGGCTCAGGAGATTTTTGTGGGTTTGAACTCACACTCTTTAGATCCTGTCACTGGATCTAACCAACGCCTTTATCCACTGTGCCATGAGTTTCTTAGTATCGTTGTTATTAATACCATTATCTTGCATGATTCTGACTGCAGAATCCTATGAATTCTGTTGAAAATAAGGATGAAACAAAAAACAAGGGGAGAGAAAAATTGCTTGCTAACGGCAAGAATGACGACGTATTTTGAGGGTAAAATACCGGTTTTCGGATGACAACTCT